ACAGCTGATATGATGTCATGTCCACAATCGAGACAGTGGGCTGTTTGTCACTGCGACCTCAATGCGGATGCGTGGGGAATCCTCTTTTATAAGCAAATAGTAATATGATATTGGAATTTGTCCTATGAAAGTGAATCTTTCTTTGCTTGAGTGAAAATGGCGAACCTAGCTGTGTACCTATGCCTTGCACACGCTCTTATTTTCTTCGCTGTTGAATGCACAGATCGTGTTTACTACATCGCAGCAGTTAACGTGGATTGGGACTACGCGCCAACAGGAAAAAACCTCAAAAATGGACTGTTGTTGGACAAAGATGAGTAAGTTTGCAAAGTTGATTTATCGTCTAAATATTTGGTACAAACGTCAAAGACCTAACAGTGTCTGTGTGCAGTTGATTAACTTGCACATTCATGAATATCGTCTGATAAAATGCCTTGTGGAAGGCCACCATATGCTACGGTCCTAATTCGTAAGTTTTCATGAATATATTTAGAAACCTTCAAGGAACTTAGACTACCAGCAGGTGTTAAACCAGTTTAGATTTGGGAACAGGTGAAAACAAATATGGTAGCCCTATCTGGAAATTGGAGTTAAAATCACGTCAACGCTTTGACTATACAACTATAATTACAATGTGTGAATGAAGAAAAGGTCACTGTAGCAGGTTGCTCGACGGGCTCCAAGGAGTTCTTGCGGCAAAAAGTAGATAAAAATGAAGCAAATATGAAACATCGCAATACGCCGAGAATAAACAACAATAAATACACGTAAATCAGTAGAGGCTAATATTTCGCCCCGGCATACGGGGCTTCATCAGAGCAAACTATTAGAATACTGGATATTTGTTAGTCAACGCTTCTAGGAGCCTGGGATATAAAACAGAGCTTGCCCCAAATATGACGAATTTGAAGATTTTTAACCCTAGGGGACAAAGGGGCTATAGTCCCCCCTAATCAGGCAACATTTAAGGCATTTTAGGCTCCATTCAAGCATTTTTATCTCAATAATGCAATAATATTCGGACAAGATCCATACTAGCCCCTCTAAACGTTAGCATCCGCTTTGTCGATGTTATGCAATGATTCCGTATTGATTCTAGAGTTTTATGAAAGAACATTTTTGATCTCAATATAACATTCAAGCTATCGCTTCAACAAGGAGATAAATGAGGTTTTCATATAAAATGCTGTTACTGGTCAAACGTTAGTATTTTCAACAAAACAAAGACAAAGGCGGAAAGTGAAAGGCATCGAGTGGTGGTGAATGGAAAGGGCGTGGCTTCGTCACAGAATTTCTGTGATTTCGAAAGCTAAGAAACAACCCTACCCAAATTGAAAAAGCTAAGAAACTTATATAATTTGTAGTTTTAATTTTCCGAGTTGACACTCGAAACAGTCTTGACATCATTTTATATTGCAACACTACCATTGACATGCAGTTTGCATTCATTCTCAGTAAATTGCACACTACACTCAAGATATTTCCATTTAAAAATTTGTTTTGACTTCAACTTAACATTTATGAAGTTAAACGAAGCTTAACTGTTTACAAATCTCAACAGGGTTAGTCATTCTAGGAAAACAAAACTCCTTGATCACTTTGTTAGTTTATCTCTGAATGCGAGTGAACTATTTACTTTACCTTGGAAGCACGTTTGAAAAATTCATTAACTAAGAAATTTAAGAAACATGTAAGAAACTTTTGATAGCAAAATGGCCAGGAAATTTGAGAAACTGCGTACCAGCACCGGACTTTAGTTTCTAAAAAAATACTTGTAGTTGATCTGGCACAAATCACATAAACTTCTCCCATACTGATTTCTAAACAGCTTTCGTCAATAGCAAGTTGCCAACAGAGACGCTAATATCACATGAGCATACGGCGATCACACTACGCTAGGTACCAGAGCCACACAATTTTGAGCACCCCTAACCTCTTTTTCCGCGCTCGATTTTATGTGGCTTTTTTACCAAGATTACGACCACGTCGTAACTAAAGAACCCTCTATAGCGAAACCCTTTTTGCCATGACTCGATGACTTTAAGGCTTAACGGCCTGTGGGGGTCTATGCGCCCATTGAAGAAGCTTTTGGGTTTTCTGTCCTCTCTTGAGTTGAACCTTGCTTTATATTTTACGGTTGCATTTTCATGCTTAAAATTAAGTTTTTTTGTAAATTTGTAAATTGCATTTTCAGTAAATTTTAATAGAGATTCAATTTATGAGAAACGTGGCTCTTTGTTTTAGAAATAGCTAACCAGGTCAAAATGATTATCAGCATTGCTAAAAAAGAATGTGGCCCAAAATGTCCTCTTTTCTTTTTCGAAACTTTTCTATTTCCCCATGATGGAGAAATTGCTATTGTTAATTATGTATATATTTATATTACGTTAAAGTTTGTGGTTTACATCCGCCTCCCCCCACCCCTCCTTCCAATCAGAAATTTCCTCCTAGCATCGGGCTTAATGTGATGTAGCTATGCTCCAATTGTTATGAATTCTTATAATTTTCTTGTTTGATGTTATACAAGGCCACTGTACAGCGTACGATGACAAATTAAGACAAAATGTAATAAAAAGAGGGCCTAAAAAAATTGAATCACAAGAGGAATGTTTTTCGATCGGAAAAAACTTTCTTCAACAGGCATTTGAAATACAGTTCATATGATTGTCCGGAACAGTTGCCCGATGATTGCATCAAGCGTGAAACTAGCACTGCCTATAGCGCATTGAAGACTTGAAAACAGACTGGCTAACAGAAATCTTTGTTACTAATTATTGTTTGAATATATGCAATCATTTGAGTCAGTAAACAGAAGAAAACAATATTGACTTTGATTGTTTCGGTAAATGATAATAATATCACACGCGAAAATATGGTTACTTATCCTTCAGATTAGAAAGTTTCTTTGCAGAAATGTTGCACTGATTTAGAGATTTAGAACAGAGACCCACTGGATTTATAGCCCTATTTCACCCCACAAAAATGTTATTGATTCACCTCGCGCACTCAAGGTGCAAATTTATCTTTTGAGTTCAGAAGAGACCGACTTTTAAAGACATAAACCCATCGCCCTTTACTGTGTCTGATGCATGTAACAGCGAATATAACCAATAAAGCTTTGCAACAAAACTGTGAATTCCATCTACTGAAAACCTTCTTTATGTTCTCCTACTGTACCTTACTCTTCACTTGGAAACTTTCAACTTTGTTCTAGTCAACAACTTTGTCAAAATAAAGAACTCATGGGTAATTTGGTAACGAAAGAACAGAAATAGGATGTGCGACTCTCCCTCGTATGGTTCATTCTGATCACGAAGAGGCCCAGTCCTAGCGAAGTCATGTATAGGTCTTGATTAAAAGAAACCTAGCCCAAGACCTGGTTCTTAAAGTTCCTTATTTTTGGACCCCGTTTGATCACATTGTAGTACCAAAAGTTGATTTTGCTAATTGTGGCTAGAAAGCAAGTCCAGCAACATAAAGAAGGAAGTTGGATAAAAATGAATGGAACCAGCTTCCTTATTTTCGACTGTTTGCAGTTATAAAAAAAAACTTTGGAAAATTGGAAATTTTTTTAGGAAATTTAACTCTAGACTTTTGGGTCCTGTCTCCACATGTAGGTTTTCTTGTAAAGTATTTCGTTAAAAGACAAAAGTGCATATATTTTAGTGTATTCTTTTCATTTGAAACATCACTTAAGTTCTTATTTTCCATTTTTTGCAGGGATGCTTCGGTTTTCACCAAGAATGGAACAAACAGAATTGGCCGAGTTTACAGAAAAACAGTTTATCGTGAGTTTACCGATGACAAATATGTTACCCAAAAGCCCCACAGAAAAGACCTTGGAATTCTTGGTCCCATTGTAAGGGGAGAAGTCGGTGATGCAATTATTATTCACTTCAAGGTAGATGAAAAATTTTTGTTATCAAATCCACTGAGCAATTCTACGCAAATGAAGTAGTTTGAAACGCTCTTTGGATTTAAGAAGGGCTTGATTCTAATAAGCTCTTGGTTATCTCTTCTGAGATAAACCCTATAACTCCTCTTTGTCGAACCATTAAAAATGGCATACATTTCCTCATCATTAAGAACAACGACGTAAGCTTGAGTTTTGCGATTAGCGATTTCAGACTTAAAGCTTGGGGGTAGCGGAGGCTAAGCGTTTAGAGGGGCTGTTTATTGGTCTTGCCCGAATATTATTGCTTCATTGAGATAAAATTAGCCGAATGGGCCTAATGCATTAAATAAGCTTTGGTTCAATGCATTAATTGTAATCTGCAGGTCTATAGATATAGAAATTTGGACAGCTAGCAGCTCCATAAGCTTGGATCGTGAAATCGCATTTTCAAACAGAAGTTGAAAGACAGGGACCCATGCTATCTTTTTACGCCATACAGTCAACTCAAGCTTACAGTTTAATGTCTTCGCCCAAATGTTTCCGCAATTGATTTACAAAAAGTGAATCTGGTTTCTGTATTCACCTTTTACAGATATTGAAATCGTTAGCACAGTAAGACTTAGTCCCAGTGATGTTTACAGGGGATTGGGTCCTAATCAATCGGCACCAAAACCGATACGGAGTGGCCATTTTGGAGTAGCTTTCCGTACCCGTTTTGAAACACGTTTTGGAACAAGTTAAGGAACAAAGCTGGATCGAAATCTACAGCTCCGTGAAAACTTTTAGTAGACCTTGTTTGAAAGTTGCTTTTGGTATTTTGAAGTTTGCTCTACAAAATAGGCCTGGGAATTGGGTACATTTTGATTTTCGATAGGCGTTGGCTGGAAATGACGTCAAAAAATTGGCACCTGAAAAACTTTTTTATGGTCATAATTTGAGAAAGATGTGTCTAATTCATCGAAGTAATAAACCATTTGACTCATCGTGAGAAAAGCTTCCGATTGATGTACATTAAATCACAATTTGAAGATATCAGCAAATTATGTTATGACGTCACTGTTTGAACTCAAAAACAATATATTGACCATACTGCTCTGATATAACTGAGATCCAAGACTTGTTATGTGCTCAAGTCACTGCCTTAATAGAAATAACTAAAAAACATTATCACAAATGTTTTTAACTGTATCAGATTAATCCGTGATGTGAAGAAACATGTTGTTTACCATCTTGTCAATTAGTCAACCAATGTTTAATCATCAAAAACATCAGTTGCACCATCTGTTTCTGAGTCTCAGTCTGAAGGCACTGTATTCGGATTCATATGCGATGGCACAACTTTGTCAAAGAGCAAATTACCAATGTTACATTTGGAGACATTGTTACGGAGCAGAGCGTCCTCTATCTTCTTTATCGTATGGATGGAAGTTCAGCTCAGCAGAGCTGCTAGAATCAGTTCTGTCAACATTGCAAGCAACACCCAATGACATTAAGCTCTAAGAGTTAACCGATCCAACGAACAAGATGTTGTTATTCTAAAGCTTTGCCATAATTGAAACTAAGCATTTGGTTTCTGTGGAAATTGTGTAATAATTTTTGGTTCAAATCAATTGGCGTTTCCAGGAATTTATAAAATGGTGCGAAAATTTAATAATAACGAAAAGTTGTCATACCTGCATCCACTTTGATTCAAGTTAAGCAACAGAATTCCTGCCCTCAAGCTAACCAGTGGAACTATCAGTCAAAGGGAAGGGTGGAAGTGTTTTAGCGTTCGTGCCAAACGTTTACTGGTGAAAGTTCACTGAACTAACAGCAGGGACGTCAGAATTGGGGACTGCAGGAACATCTGTCTCACTTTTGGGGAAAGTGAAACTTGCTTAGAAAGGCCCTCTTACGACTTCTAGAAAAGCACATCTTTTCCTGAAACACAGAGCCCTTTCCTTCCTGTACCCCACAATTTTTATTGTTTGCTATAAACAACACAGCCTTTACTGCTTTCCATTCTCTACATAAAAAGAAAAAATTAAATTCTTTCGCGTTACTCTCTTAGAACATGGGTAACAGGCCCTATACAATGCATCCTCACGGGGTGTTCTATGAAAAGTCTTCAGAAGGGGCCAAGTATTTGGACAATACTAGTGGAGATGACAAAAAAGACGATGGTGTTCCCCCCGGTAAAACTCACACATACAAATGGCTTGTTAGGGAAGAAGATTCCCCCAAGGAGGGTGACGAGCCTTGCATTGCATGGCCTTACCACTCACATGAAACGCCAACTAGTGATATCAATACAGGTCTTGTAGGTAGGTACAGTATGTCCCTTTTGTTGCTCATTAGCCGACATCATCAGTCTCAGGTATTGAAGTTCATTATTACATAAACTTCATGCAGTACATTACGTAAATTCTAATAGCACGACCCTTTGTGGATCATTCTTTTTATAGAATGTCATCAGTTTTTGGGTTTTATATCTCCGGAAGTTTTTTGTATGACTAATTTGATATGAATTAGCTTCCTACTTCCAGTTGAATCTTAGAGCAGAGGTTCTTCTTGATTAAAATAACCTTACCAGTCGAAACAATTTGCTCAGATCTTCAGTTTCAAAATTCTGCTTCCTTAGCAATGGGGTTACTTTGATGAATAACAAAAGTTTTATGCTAATAGACAGCCCGAATTTCACAAAAGTAAATCAAATTTCACAAAAGAACTTCATCTGTTTTCATCACATGCACTCTTCTTTTAAAAGAACCAGTACCTTGAAATTTAGGCTAGGCTGGTTGCCTTAAAGGGCCACTTCAGCCCAAAATTCTTATTTCATAACACGATGTAATCAGGCCTCTTGAAGATGAATCTGCTATTATTTTTTCATATCTCTTACCGTTTTGTTGTTATAAATAAATACCTTGTTATCAGTTTTTTAAAAGGGATTTACAACTTCGTTCAAGAGAGTTTAGTTGTTTTAAATAAAAGGGGGTTTTAGGGTTTTTTGTTGCTATAAATAAAATTGTTGTTATAATGTTTTGAGTTTGTTAAGGGGGTTTCACAACTTTGTTCAAAATAACATTTATAGAACCTCAGCCTCAGCTTCTTCTCATTTTCTTAACTTGTGACCAATTTTGAAGCCTGATAACCAGCCCATCATTCTAAAGGAATAAGTATGTGGCTGGTTATCAGGCTACCAATTTTAAGGCTCGTGTTATTATTAAATTAATTTTGTATAAACAACCAAAATTGATAATAATATAATAATAAAGGCATTTATATTGTGCCATATATCCACACTGCTCAAAGGCGCAATAGTGATATAATATATAGTATTACAAAAAATGCTAACAATGTTCGTAAAGTTTTCGTAAAAATAAAAAAAATCTAATTAAAATATTCTTGAAAAAGATGCGTTTTCAGTCTACTCTTAACACCGTCAAAAGAATCCACTGCTCGTAACGTGCAACGCAAAGTTGATCATCTTTTATCTTACATTGCTGCTCCTAATGTCAGTGGCAAATTACACTAACAACAAGTATAAAATTTCCTGGATTAAGATTACCTAGGCTTCGCTCCTTCATCGCTTCGTCGCAAGATGAATTCACCCTCTTATGTAGTTGAATTGTTTTTTGCATTTTTATGAATAAAACAAAGCAATAAAAGTAGAAAGAACAGAAGTAGAAAGAAAGTACAAGAAACAAGAAATTAAGTAACCCAGATTAAATGATATTTGAGTTTATGTAGTTGAATTGTTTTTTGCATTTTTATGAATAAAACAAAGCAATAAAAGTAGAAAGAACAGAAGTAGAAAGAAAGTACAAGAAACAAGAAATTAAGTAACCCAGATTAAATGATATTTGAGTTTATGATAAAAACAATATGTATCTTACACATTCAACTTTAAGATATCGGTAATGGGTAATGGTAATTTTCTTGTCCCCTCAGATTTTTAAGTTTCTAAGTTTCAGGTATATCTATGTTTGTTGAGCCCTCAATCTCTTTGCTCTCCAGTCCCGTAGCTAGCAATCGCTAGTCTTTCTAAGACTTTTATTTTCACTGAATCGAGGCAAAACAGAGTTTAAAATGGAGATCAGTCTTTTCCTTGACTGTGTACGTTTGTCTAGAAACAATCTCAAGATTCGTCAGTAAATATTTTCTGAGTCTACAAACTACGTCCATTGTGTGTTGGCGTTGCTTGTTCTAATTGTGTATTGAACTAGCCATGAGTTGCTTACCTCTGACAAGATCAAATAGATGTTTCTTTACCTTTACTTTGTGAAATTCTATTATTGACTCCTATAGTAGTTTTTGTTTTATTGGTTTATTTGTTTTTCTTTCAAGACTCTCACTACTATCTGTCAGTTGTATTCAATCTCTTTGTATCCCAATTTCTTTACCACGACATATAATATGCCCTTTTTATGAACGCTTACCCCTAACCATTTCCCCCCATAAAATGACTAAAATTGTTGATGTTTTATCTGATACTTTGCCCCTAAATGACACATACCTTGGTTTTTGCCAACCCAAATGGTTTCAATTTTGGCCATTCTTACTTGTAGCTTACCTTTTTTGAAAAGAACCTTATTTTATCTTGCTTGTAGGAATGCTTCTCACATGCAAAAAAGGTTCTTTGGACGCTAGTGACAAAAGAAAAGACGTGGAAAAGGAAATATTCCTGTTGTTCAATGTCTTTGACGAAAATAAAAGCTGGTTTCTTGACGAGAATATTCAAAAAAGAACAAGCAGCCCGAAAAGCGTCAACAAGGAGGACGATGGGTTCAAGGAGAGCAACCTGTTGCATACCATAAATGGACTGTTCTACGGCAATTTGATGGGTTTGGAGTTTTGCCTTGCTGATAAAGTGGCTTTGCACATGGCTGTGTTGGGAAATGAAGTGGACATGCACACTAGTATGTACTTTTCTTAATTCACTTTTTTTATTTTATAAGAAACTTAGATCAGCACTTAGTACTAAAAGTTTCTTAATTTTGCAACCAAATTTTGGCGTTTTAGTACTAAAAGTTTCTTAGTTGGTTTCTAATTCCTAGACCTTAAGTTGCCTTATTGTTTTGAAGTTGAGCATGTTTGGAAGAATATAAACATATATTGGCATGAAAATAACCCATGCAGATCAAAATCCAAATGATGCTATCTTTTCCAAAGAAAAAAAACAAAATATAGACTTTTGGATTCTTTTTTTAAAATGGAAATTTAACACTTTCTAATTTATTCTTGAGCCTTACTAAAGTTTCTTATGTTTTTGGCCATCCTAGTACTGGTTTATTATAAACCAGTTTCTTATAAATAAAAAACGTGTGGACGATTAAAAGAACGCACGACAAAGCTCCGAAGGACGGTCTTTTCCATACATATTCTGTTGCCCCTATATCAGTTACTTAGACATGTTTTCATGATAACAGGTATTCGATATCCCTAACTTTTTCTTCCTAAAATGCATCAAACCCCCTAATGCAGGTTTTAATTACTGATTTAGGCAAAGGTTTTCTCGTTTGCTCTTTCAGTGACATACTCTGGCAACATGATCTTGTTCGATCGACATCGCACTGATAGCGCCTCACTGTTCCCCGCACAAACTGCAACGGCGGTGATGGACGTAAAAAATCCAGGTCATTGGTTACTTTCTTGCCAAATTGCTGATCATCTCTCTGGTGGAATGTTTGCCTTTTATAATGCAAAACAGTGTAACAGTAAGCCTGTCACTCCAACAGTCACTGGAACAACAAGAGAATACTTCATTACTGCGGAGGAGGTTGAATGGGATTATGGGCCTTCAGGAATGAACCGTTATGATGGAGGGGCTCTCAACAAAGCCGAGAGGTATGCTATTGAAATTATCAATTCTTATGTCCTGACATGTCTAGAGCATGTATAAGATCGTTTTAGATTTAAAACAGCGGTGTTGCAAAATTAAATGCAGTTTTTGCATATCTTCATCTTTAGCTCTAAGAACTTAACCTCCCTGTTCAGTTTAGTCTAGAAAAGAGCAGCATGCTAGCCACTTTCAATGTTTTGCCGTGAATCAGATACAAACGTGATAAATGCAAGCCCTTTGTAATTTTTGTGCTATGTAATAGATTAAGTCAGCAAAAGCGAGGCTGTGCTAGTAGTGTTGACATGTCTAGAGCATGTATAAGATCGTTTTAGATTTAAAACAGCGGTGTTGCAAAATTAAATGCAGTTTTTGCATATCTTCATCTTTAGCTCTAAGAACTTAACCTCCCTGTTCAGTTTAGTCTAGAAAAGAGCAGCATGCTAGCCACTTTCAATGTTTTGCCGTGAATCAGATACAAACGTGATAAATGCAAGCCCTTTGTAATTTTTGTGCTATGTAATAGATTAAGTCAGCAAAAGCGAGGCTGTGCTAGTAGTGTTAGAAGCGAGGCACACGAAACTTCAATTTTGAAGGCTTTGTGAAAACATTATTTTTCATACAGAAGCGCTTCCCGATGCTTAGCCGACCTGACTTTTTGCTGGCATTTAGGTTTTTCTGGTCATTAAGATGTTTATTTGGTAATGCTATTCAAAACTGACAGTTATACTAAAACATTGTCTTTTTAGTTGATGAACATTGAAGGCCAAAAATTAACTGTTTTTTTGATAAATAAATTTGACCTTTAACAGCTAAAACAAGTGCCACAAGCTCAATTTTTAAACTGCTATCACGCAACAGCTTAACCAAAATAAGGACCTACACATCACGTGGTGCAAAAGAAAACCTAAAAAGAATAGCCATTGCGTAAAGACTACCATGTATATTCATGTTGTGCAAGTGACATTTTTCCTTATTCCAGTATTACATGAAAAAATAAAGATTTAAGTGAAATATATATACTGAAATATTAATAGAGATATATAATATTAAACAATTTTTTTTCAACCAGCCCGTCAGCAACATTTTTTACAAGAGGCACAAACAGAATCGGTGGCAAATACATGAAAGCTTTGTTCTTCGGGTATACTGATGCAACATTCACTACGAAAAAGGCAAAGGACAAGGACCTCGGAATCTTAGGGCCTGTTATCAGAGCAGAGGTCGGAGATAAGATACGAGTCACTTTTAAGAATATGGTGAGCTGAGCCTTTTTTGCGTTTAACATACCTTTGTTGGAAGTTCCTGAAAAGCTCTTTATGTAGGATTTTAGTGCCCAAATTTGGGTTTCCCAACACCGACCATTTTTTAAGGTCGTACGAGTCACTTAATTATGTTTTGCATTTCACTTGGAAAATTTAAAAACGATTTGACTTAAAATAAACAAAAAGAAAATCAGACACCGATAATTTTTTATGTGTACGTTTTGTATAATTTATTCAATTATCTTATTCCCAGCAGCTTGTCAGGAGAGGAAAATCAGCTTGGAGTTTTTAGACCAGTTCTTGTCTCTTTCAGATACTGAATCAAATGGCAATATGCCCATGACTTTTTCTGCCTTGAAAACATGAAAGACAAACTTAAACGCTTCTCAATGCAAATTTGATTTCCTGATCCAAAACATATCTAATTTTGGATGAAATAGTTATGCTCGGAGAGTCACATAAGAATTTCTCAAGTTAGATAAACCTTCCACACATCGATTGAAATTTAGGCCTTGATTTCCCCTTTCAAGACTAAGATTGACTAATCAACATTTGTTACATGTTTTTCCTTACCTTACTATTTTCCATCTAAAGCTCCACATTTAAGATATTCTTTTGCGAATTCTTATTTCGATGTTTAGACACCAGATGATAACATCAAGCTGTTAAACTTGCTTATTCATTGTAGGCCAGTCGGAACTATTCAATTCATCCACGTGGTGTTATGTACGACAAGAAGAACGAGGGATCGCTGTACAACGACAACACAACCCTGAACTCAGATGACCAGGTCTCCCCTAATGCTACGTACATTTACGAATGGTTTGTGCCTGCGTCAGTAGCACCAACCTCGAATGACTGGCCCTGTATCTCATGGCTTTACACTTCTGGCGTTGACTCAATTAAAGATACGTATTCAGGTAAAAAATTTAGAAAATTCAGCTATCAACTTATCATAAACCCCTAGTTTAAGGTAGGTTAGTAGTTCTCCGAGGAGTTAAGTTTTGTTTTATGTTAGAATTCGAAATTTTTTACGACCACCAAATAAATGTACTATATTTTCATTTTTAAGCTACTTGTTTTTTAATGATGCTTCGTCTGTTTATATTTGTTTAAAAAGTGAGCAGCAAACTTTTAGATACTTATTTTTTAATCCAAGATTTTTAAGATATATCTTAAATCTCATTTGCTTAACTAAGCCAATTTCTTACTTTGCCCCTGGTTGTCAAATATAAGTGACGTTTTTGGAAATGACGACAAAAGTTTGATCCGAGTTCACTGCTTGTAGGACTGCTTGGACCAATGGTGATATGCAAGGATGGCATGTTGGAGAAAGGTCTCCCAAAGGGCTATGCAGCTGAGAAATTCATTTTGATGGCTGTAATGGATGAAAATAAATCGTGGTATTTGGACCAAAATATGGCAAAATATTGCACAACACCAAAATGTGGTGGTGTCAGCAAAGGTAACTTTATGATTAACGATTTATGTTTTTTTTTGTATTATATTCGGGATATTTAGAGCTTATAAATTAACAAAAGAAAAAGTCTAGAAACGTGTACTGCTAAGAGAAAGATACCTTACCTTAAGGAAGAACCTGATTCATCTTTTCTAGCCTGATTTAGTTTTCTTCTGCTGATATGGAAAGCAGCATGATGCCTTACAATGCCAACCAAAATTTGCTCTGAACCTAGAGCAAAGGGTCTTTTTTATTTTTACATCACTTATCTCGTTGCCTAAATATTAATACTTTACGCAGTTATTGTTTTGAACAATTACGGAAGAATGAATAGTGTTGGCCGAGGCTCTTAACTAAATATTTTTTTGCATTCAATGGAAATTGACAATACATACCAGTTGGTAACGCTATATATGAAAAACTAACAACATTACAAAGAAGATATCACAGAGTTCATTAAATATACTATGACTTACGTCCTGGCATTACAGAAAAGTTAAAAATTGCAATTAAAACGGTCTACATTTGAAATCTGAACTATAAAAAAAGCTAAATGATATTGGTGGCCTAATAAGGCGAGTGGGGCAAGAAACCTTATAGGAGACGATGATTACCGCGTATAAAACATATTCTCAACACAAGACTGTGTCTTTCCAGTTCGTTCGGAAAACTTTGGCACAGTACAATAAGCAACAGATATGCAACAGAGCTTTATTTGCCAGATTTGCGTATAATAAGGTTGCAACAGAGTGTAAATTACGGCAGGGGTCTGTTCTTATATTACTCTTATAAGATATAATTCAGGTATGATAAAGGCTTGTATTATACAAGTTACAATAAAAAACGTACTTCTGAATTCACTTAGTCGATTTATAAGAAACAAATACCGTTCCCAAGTCTGCTTTATTACAAATGTTTCTTATTACAAAATTTAGAAGACGAGGATTTCATGGAAAGCAATAAAATGCATCAAATCAATGGGTTCATGTACGGAAATCTCCAAGGGCTCGACGTTTGCAAAGACTCAAAGGTGCTCTGGCATGCCAACGTCATAGGAACAGAAGTCGACATGCATGGCATTTATTTCCATGGAAATTCATTCAGCAGTGATATGGAAATCCACAAAGACTCGCTTCCCCTTTTTCCAGGTACATCCTAAGTTTTGTTGAATACCTTATGGCTACTGAGTTGTCAGTGAAAGCTGTATTTTGGTGAGGAAATGCGGAAAATATGCAGAGACTAGAGTTTTGAGGAGGGGGGCTGACTCTAAGATTCATGCATAGACGTATAAGTTTATTTTGAGGGATTTCGAGAAAATGGCCGACATAGGTTAGTAGACGACATTTCCTACCAAGAATTCGAAATGGCAAATTTAAACTTTGAAAATAACATGACCCTTTTTATGTAAGAAACGTTTATCCTACTGTGAGTCTTCATTTGGAAAGTGAAACTCGGCCGCTGTGGTCTGTACGTGACTCGCGACGATAGTAAAAGAGGGTAATAAAAGACTTTGGCGACGATAAAAATTTATTGGGAGAAAATCTATGTATCTATTTTTTGAGATAAAATTATCTTGGGTGTGCTGTCTCTTTATACAGTCTTATATTCAAAACATGTTGGAGAACGTAACTAACGTTTTATTGCAGGGGAAGGAACCACCTTTAGTATGCATCCACTGAACGAGGGAACTTGGGGCCTCGTATGCAGGGTGAATGATCATTTTAATGCTGGCATGAAAGTGACGTATACTGTAAAGAAGTGTGGGTCGACCAAAAGCGAAAAAACTTCAGGAACGATAAGAACGTTTTTCATTGGGATTGTCGAGAAGGAATGGGACTATGCTACGAGCAATAAAAGTTTTCTCAGCGGGAAAGAACTAGATAAGGACGAACAGTGAGTTATTTATCTTTTTAAAAGGGCTGCTTAATTCTTTAAAAGAGGAAACTTTAACCATTTATAGGTCCTTCAAAACAGATGTATAAATTATTCTATCTAGTGATAACACTGTAAAATATGAAGTTGCTCTTCAAGCCTTTCTTGAAGAGCAACTTCATATTTTTTCCAGTTAATTCTCGGTATGGCAAATTCATTTTTGCTACTTTTTTCCTGAATATTTTAATGCATGAATTGAAATAAAATGTAATGCATGCTTTGCATGTAGTGTTGACAATAATCTGCTTTTTCTTTAAATATGGCTTAGTTATTCAAATGAAAAGTATTCTTTCAAGCGGGTAAATTTGGGCCGTTCATAACTATATTATAGCACTGTCTACAGCACCGCTGATCAGTGGTGTCTGATTAATATAGCTATGATTATTCACATAAAAGCGCTCAAAATTACAATTTAAACAGTTCTCCATCGTTTACAGACCTCTAGAAAAATTCTGAAAATTTTAAATATCGTAACCTTCCTAGCTATACTTGAGATTTTTTCGTGAATAGATCATCAATATTAATTTTAATCATTCAAGAAATTTGGTGGGACTTCTAGCATAGACAAAATTGCTGCAAGAGGCTGGTTATTTCCCTAACTTTGCCATCGGAATGAAATTCTTATTAGGGGGGGGGGGTTGGGGGTTCTGCCCATTGTATTCCTTGTCATTCAGTAGACTGTAAGAAGGAAAAATACTACATTTTGACAATTATTGGGGGGAGGTCCAGACTTCAGTCCCCCGTTTCCGACGGCCCTGCCTACTACTTAAAATCAATGTTGACTGTGAATCCGGTACAGTTATCAAAGCATTTTGCTCATTTTTTAGTGCAAAAGTATTTACATTACGAGGTGATACCAGGATAGGAAAAATCTACAAGAAGGCAATGTACAAAGAATATACGGATAACACTTTCACGGAGGAAAAGCAAAGAGATGTGAAGGATCAGCATCTTGGAATTTTAGGCCCATATATCAGAGCCGAAGAAGGTGACCAGATCGACATTGTCTTGAAAAACATGGGAACGAGGAATTATTCAATACAGCCCCACGGAGTATCATACAGGTGAGAAAACATGAAAATTGCATCGATTTTACACCGTAAATTTTGTCATTGAGGCAGCAAAAATGTCAAGGGAGGAATGCTTTTAAAGAGAGTTTTTTCATTTCAGTTAGAAAGCGCAAGTAAAGCCTGTATGAAATTATCTTAAAAATCAGAGGGCGCACTAAGCACGCTTTTCGCATTAATTTGCCTTGATCGTCTGAAGAAAATGTTTGCTTTGTTGTTAACTCCTGTTAAACAGAATTGAATCATACCTCATCCTCTGTGTATTCCTTTTAGCAAAGAATTTGAGGGTGCTGTCTATCTGGATAACACTACAAAGCAGCATGGCAAAGCAGTGGCCCCCGGCAAAACGTTTATTTACAATTGGTTTGTTCCGAAGAGATCTTCCCCCGGTATTAAAGATAGTGCCTGCATCACGTGGTCCTATTTCTCTTCAGTTGACGCCGTGAAAGACACGAATTCTGGTTTGGTTGGCCCTCTGATTATATGTAGAAAGGTTTGTGAATTTGTTTTTGTTTTCATGTAATACTCATCAAATAGACTAAAGGATTTGGAATAACTGCTCACAAATTTTTGATCAGATGTCAATCGCAAATACTTTCACAGCACTTTCTTAACGTTAATTATGAAACTCCATATCGTAATTTTTAATTGATTCATTTACGTGCAGTTTAGTTTCTAGTTCCACTCATTTACCAGATTAAAATCTAGCTAATCACAGGAAGAAGAAGCACTGTCGTCTCTGCCACCTTTTCCCTACAAATCCACCTTAAAGCTTATTGCAGAAGAGTTGTTATGACTTTTCTCTTTATAATTATTCAAAAGGGAACACTTGACAGCAATGGAAGACGAAAGGATGTCAACAAAGAATTTGCCCTCCTTTTCACAGTTCTTGATGAAAACGAGAGTTGGTTTCTTGATGAAAATATAAACAAGTATGCAAACAAAGCTAAAGTTGTTAAGAGTGACGATGGTTTCAAAGAAAGTAATAAAATGCATGTAGTAAACGGTTTTATTTACGGCAATGGTCCAAACAATGGAAACTTTCTGGTCATGAAGAAAGGCGAAAAAGTTGCTTGGTACCTGATGGGTGTTGGAAATGAAGTCGATGTTCACACGGTGCATTTCCATGCAAACAACTTTGTACACGTAAGAACTTTTTCCACATTTATACTCTTTAAGGAAATACTTTTAGTTTTTTTTAACATCCAATTAAAGTTCTCTTGCATAAAACATTTTGTCGCATCTTCATTATGGTTTTGTTTGAACCATATCTCCCAGCCTAAACGAACAAGGTTTCTGCAATAACAAGAAGCCTAATGATGACCAGAGTTCGCATTTCATAAGCTGTTTCAGTGCGATGGTGGCGGACTACAGATCCAAGGGTCAGGGGATTAAGTCCCTGACATGACCAAACTTTCACTGAAAGTTAGGGAGTTCCAAGCTCCTTGCAATTCCAAGTGAAGGAATTTCAAGGTGTGGTCACATCAAGAGAAACGACCAGGACACTGCCTGATAAGCATAGCTTCTCAGTACCCTACAACTACTTTAAAATGCTAGGGAGAACAAATACCAATGCAAACAAGAGCATACCAGGGAAGTGGTGATTTCAAGAAATTCCTGATGAATTTCGGGTTTGATGACATTGTAACTAAAGATGGTTATTTTGACAAACATAATGAATTTTACATAAGTCAGCAGTATCGAAAAAATTCCACACTTAGTAATAAATTAACTAATAAATGTATCGTTGAGTTACGAAAATCTGGCTAATGACGTCATCATTCTGGACAGCTTTTAAAATACTTGTGATTGAAATGCATCACCATTAATTCATTAAAAGGGTTAAGTTGTTTTTTCGCAGAGGACAAGCAGCACTCACTTGGACGATGTTTATGATGTTTTTCCCGGCGTCTTTGAAACGTTAGAAATGACACCTACAAACCCAGGCACGTGGTTACTTCACTGTCACGTGCATGATCACTTAGAAGGTGGAATGGAAACGAGGTACACGGTTTCTTCGGACTCTGGTAAGCTATACAATTCCTCATTTCAACTTTATTCAGATTAAGTAATATTTTGAGATTTTGCTTAGAACTCTTGAGGACCTCCAGCAGTTCAGCAAAAATTAATAAACAAATTTGTGAGTCTACTTCTCAAATAGTTTTGTTTTGCAATTTTAGTCGCTTCCCTATTTTTGTTTTAATAATCGTGGTATCGGTTGATCAAGTAAGCAAGATTCATGTGTGTCCTTCTCATATTAATATAATATTAAATTCTGCGAGCAGCTGTTATACCAGGGACGGACACTTGATCAAATATTGGGAGGCAAGCCTACTGTTTTAATAAGATGACGTCACATTTCCCATTGTTTTAGAACAAAAGACCATTGTCCTCTAAATTATTGGGAGGGCGGTCGCCCCCCTCACCCCCCAGAGGGTCCTGCACCTTAAGAGAAATATATCAACTTTTGTTGACAGGTGGTACAAAGAACACTGAATAAAATAGCATAAAAACTTATGATATGAAAAATGCTCCACAAAATTGATATATTCAATAACTGATAGAACAAAAACACAGTTTATCAATGCGGAGGCGCAAAAATGATGGGTTTTTGAATAGGCGAAAACAGATTTATGAGCTGTGTTGACGGAAAATAATGTGAGCTGTATTGATGGAAAATAATTCGATTTTGTTCTGATTTTTTCTTATATAATCGGAGCGGTTTGAGCGGCTGCTAGATATCCAAAAGAACGGATCAAAATGGAAACGGAGTAATGTGAACTGGGCCTGAAACAGTCGGACTCAAAAGAAATAATAATGCAGGACAGTCGGTTCCGATTTCTGTTAGTGAAAGAAAGTCGGTCCCGATTCACGCTAATGGTAGAATCTTCTCTCCTATCTAGAATTGATTTGAAACAGTTGGGTTTTCTAATCTAGACAGGGTCCTTCTTGAGGTCACACTCCCAAAATATATTTTCATTTCTGTCCCTGACTCATGAAAATGACTATGTAAGGTATCAGGCAAGACATTTTTATATAATGTGCTGACATTTAATTTTTGATTTATTTGTCATGAACTTTCCTCTTGACCAATCTTACTGTCAAATCCTTAAAATTCCTGGATTCTTCTATTCTAGGCGGCAAGATAAACAATGCGGCAAGTTATAAGGAACTGAATTCTGTATTCAGTCTAGTAATGTTGATCATTGCATGTATTATGTCTACATAGAGTACTAGGCTTCAAACATCTTATGACATCAAGACACTTAAGAAAATTTTTACCCTTATTAAACGATCATTTTTCGATCGGTAATTCCCTTTTTTCATTTATCAAATTAGAAATAGAAGAGTTTCAGGGTGGATCAATCATAATGGATCTATTTGTTTTTAGGAAAAATTAGTAAAAGATATCCCTAACGCTATAATTAGATGTTTGTTATTGACATGACGTCAGCGGGGCGTGTTTTTTGCTGTAAATTGACCAATTTAACGTGATATCAATATTTGATTTCAATATTTGAAGTTAGTAAGTGTACCCGAGGAGCGGCTGTTAAACATTTCAAGTTCGTTAGACACTTTAACCTCACAATAAGCTAAAGATTCAAGAAATTTCGGGTCACTTTCCTTCCTTGATATGTCAATAAATCCTTCTGGATTTCTGTAGCCAAAATTTATGGAAAGTTTATTTATCTTCAAGAGCAGCCCGGCCAAATGTATTGAATAAAAATTTTGCAAAAATAATGAGATGTTATTTAGTTATTGAAAAATTTCCTATCTTATCTTATAAATATTTTTAGACTCTCACTGTGAATAGTGATACATCATAGCAGTGTATATTACCTTGATAACCTTATATTCTATTTTGTGCTGGCAAAGATGTGACCAGTTGTTTCACTGATATTAAATAATGATGCAAAACCCTGCATGTTTTCTTCGTTTATCGCCTCGGTAGTTTTTTCGATTTTTAGTATTATTCCTAAAATATAAGTTCGACAAATTAACAGTTTATTATTGAGGAAAATGCTTAGAAAATGTGAGTTCACTATTTTTGTCATTATTCTATGCTTGCCAAGAGATTTAAAAGTTCTGAGTTTTTTGGGGCTTCTTTTTTGTGTCTTTTGATTGACAAAAATTTGGAATTACTAGTCAAGTGCTATTCTTACTGAATCTCGAAAATATTTTTTATAATAATAATAATAATAATGGAAACTTTTCATTTTCAATTCAATCAAAACTACAATTACAAATTTCACTATTACAAAGGTAATTTGCAATTGGCTAGCCTGGGTTTACAAAGAAAAAGACTATTACAAGCACAAACAAAAGAAATTAACAAAAAAGTGTGTTCGTCATTGTTTGTTTTAGAAGTTGTCAGTAGCAAAGATCGTTAGAATTAAAGAAGTTCAAGATTATTTCTTATTTCTGCGGCAGAAAATGTAATATGTAGTACGGATAGCTAAGTACGGATAGTAATAACTTTATTTTAGTGTCAAAATGATTTAGCATTTCTGCTAATTGGGGACACTATTTACATACAATTTATTAAAAAACGTAATCTATGAAAAGTAAAATGTTAAGGTGAAAATTTCAAGAAAAGTTACAGAATTTCCTTTAAGTAAGGCCTCAAGGCTCATTGCATGAGTTGTCTTTGAGTAAGGCCTCAAGGTCCTTTTGTCTAATACTGTTGCGGAAATTATCAATACTTGAACTGGTCCTTTCTTTTTGATTTAATGTATTTGTATTTTAATTTAGTCCATAAATAAGGTCCTAGATACCTCAACGATACCTCCTAGGTACCTTCTATGTAACACTTAAGCTATTTTTCTAGCATTTCTCTTCATTTCATACTATCTGTTTCTTAATTCTGTTGTGCAATATCCACCCTATAATTTTTCACTTGTTACTAATGCTTATATTGATTAATTTCTATAGATTCAGCCCTATTGACGTATTTGGATTTTTTTGAACAGTTATGAATTTTGAACAGCTGAAAATCAGACGCCCGTTTAACCAACCACCCTTCTCCCCTCTCCCCTCCATCAAAAAAATCCAAAGAAACAATGGTTATTGATATTTGCAATGCAGAGATGCAGAGACAATGATATATAAGCGACGAAGCCTTCGGCGCTTCTATATCATTGTGCAGAGATGCCTAAATCGAACTTGAGGTTGCTCTTAAAACACAATCGAGGTTTGCTCCTTGGATGGGCCTAATTATTTGCAGGGGCTTGCAAATGAGCTGCTAGAATACTCGTTCACCTTCAAAGGTTTGTGTATTTCATTACTTCAGCTTTAATTATATTTTTTCATTGTCTTCAGCAATGTTTCTATGTAAGGAATGTACATTTTGTGCACAATCTTCATCATCGAAGTCACCATCAACCACGTGGTTCCGCAAGTACTCAGCAATGCATGCAAGAATCCAGTGTGTTGATGCTCGACCACTTAACAATTCTAACTTGAACAGCAAATTTAAAACCAGATTTAAAGCTGTGAAACCTAAAGTTTCCTATAAGTTGCCTTGCAAATACAGGTTTTGAGTAGAATGATAGTGTAGTGTAATACCAGATTGGAATATTTGCGCGGGGGACAAATCTTTATCTGTGCTATGCCTAGTTGCAAATGCACAATTATCATGGACCTGAAACAGATCCCCTACGCATCTATGAAAAATTCCAATCTGGTGTAAATACAGATTTTGGTGCTAGACCGAGGACCCCTCATAGATTGATTGAGGACCCCTCATATATTATATTGAGAACCCCGCATAGAGACCAGACTGAAAACTTTGTCACGCGCCCTCGATATATTGCCCGCACACTCAAATTTTCCATCCCCACACATTTGCATATTGGCTGTGCAAAGTCTCTATTTGAATACATTTCACATTATTAACAATTCAAATTTCTTAAAAGTGTGTGATTTCAGGTGCGCAGTCGCGCAGTCAGGTACGCATGAGCTTGCCCCTGAAAGAAACAAAGTTTCCAGTCTGGCATAGAGACACCCAACTATATAAAGTGCGTTGCAAGTATACTTCAATGCTTTTACATCACAATGGCTGAAGCTCAGATTCCATGACTACCTAAAAAGGAAAAATTTGAGTCCTTCAACTTGATGGCAATTGTGCGTTGATTTGAAGACAACGACAAGGCTACAATTGCATGGTGCAGGCAACATTGGCTGCTTTTGACAGAACAAAACTGCTATGTATGCCAGGTACCTTGTAGAGAAGGTCTTTACAGTTGCAGCACCGATGGCATCATTTGGAGATGTCCAAATTGTAGAAAACGATAAACATCCGAAAAGGTAGCTTTTTCGAAACACTTATATTTAAAGCTGTGGCAGGTTATCGGCTTGACATATTGGAGGGCTACAAGTGCGGGCTGCCCATGGGGGCTGTCTGTGTGTGTTGCAGACAATGAGAGAGCTGAAAATTAACAGAGAGCACACCATTGTTGACTGGAATCAGTTTTGCCGAGACGTGGCTGTCAAGCATTTTGTCTAGGGGGAAATGGACATGTTGAAATCGATGAATATTTGATTGTGCGACACAAGTACAAGCGTGGCCACCTTGTGAGGGAGCAGTGGATCCTGGGCAGTCACGAGGCAGAGACGAAGAAAGGGTTCTTGGTACCAGTCCCTGCAAGGAACCAAGCTACATTGCTGCCAATCATCCAGCCATGGGTGGAACAGAACACAACGATATGGACAGATATGTAGACAGCATATCAGAACCTGGCACAGCTTGGGTTTGCCCACGGCACGGCTAACCACACCTTTAATTTTGTTGCCCCCTTAACAGGGGTAACAACTAACTGAGTGGGGGCATTGTGGCCAAGGCGAATTTCAAGGCAATGTACGGTCTAACAAACTGGGAAATGGTGAAAGACTACCTTTCTGAATTCATGTGGAGCCAGAGATTTAGTGACAATCCATTTTTTAATTTTTGGTTACAAGTAGCCACAGATTTATGTCCTTTACAATAATAAAAAAATTTCAAAATTCCAAAATGCATCATCCTAGTTTACTTAAAACTATATAAAACCTAGTTTACTTTCGAAACAATTAATAAATATGCCTAACCCTACCACGGTAAAAAGCATTCTGATTATGCGTAAAGTATTGTGTGGTCTCTTGCAGATCGCATTCCTTCCATTGTACAATATTTTTAAATAGGAAAACCCATGCCCCTACCTTTGAATTAGAAAGTACTGACAGTAATTATCTGAATTCTGCCGTATGAATTCCACCCTGAATATGCTATAAATTTAGGCACTGAATATATATGTATATACTCATTTTTTAGAAGAAACAAAGGTCGATGTTGAGTACTCCAGTTTCTTAATGTTCTGGAAATTTTAATACTCATTGTTTCTGAAGATTTTCTTAAATATGAAGTCATAAATTTTATATTTTGGTTCCTTATATTAATTTTTCATGCTAGGAAGAAATTTTAGTTAATGTTAGGAACTATTACAAAAAATGGAGGGATTTTTACAAGAAATTAGACTTGTCAATGCTTCTACTGTTATGAAATTATGCTATGTTATGAAATGTTTGTGACATTTTTTATCACGTCAAGAGATGTGCTTCTTATAGCCAGTTTCTTATGAAAAAATGAGTGTATACATCCTGCCTTGAATTTTGCAATAATCTCGCAATTTTGAAATATTGAGCATTGTGTGTATAGATTCTTGTTTTAGTAATTTTATTGGCTTTTGCTTGTTTGGGCATGCCCCGAATTTTTGTCATTGTTAGACAGTAAACTGAAAATGTTTGTTCTGCGTTCTTCACCAATAAACGTTTTTCCAAAAAATGCACATTGCAAATTATATATCCGCATCTCATTTCATTTTAGAAAAATTAGAAAAAGTGATTGATCTTTCTACCTTTCTGAAAAAGGACCGCACTAACATTATTAGGGTCCCTGGAGCCAAGCAAAGTCAGGCCCTCTGTATCAAAAAATGTAAAAGTCCGAACATTTTATTTGTAGGAGCCAAGATAAAATAAATTTCATGATTTATTGAAAGTTAATTGAATGCCTCTGGACCTACAACAGATCAATTTATGAGTAGAACAAATACATTTATTACAATGAATTATTTCCTTGGTCATAACAAAGCGTCTCGATTTACTCGGGCAGAAGGGCGATAAAATTTTCACATATGAGTGATTCCACTTTGCTGGAAAATGCACACTCTGAAGCACAATCTATGTCATAGTGTGGTTCAATAAGAAAATATATCTAACAATACCTAATTATGCTTATAAACCTAATACTTAGCAATGCGAAAAATTTTCATGAAAAGAGTCTGTTGTTAAGAGTAACTGCCAGTGGTGTGTTAGCAATCCCCCCTGCCGATCAAATATCAGGCCCAGGGGCGCAAAAATGAATTTTCACCAGAGGCGCCTCCATGATAAACTGCTATGAAGAGAACAAGAATCACCCAGTAACATACCATCTCTTCCTTCTTACTAACTTTGATATGCTTAACAACAATTGAAAACACTTTCTCAAGATCTCATGCTAACTCTAAATGATTTTTGCACAAAATATATACAAGGGTCATACAGAGGTAAGGGGCGCAGGGTGGTTTTGAGAAAACCTGTTATGAGTTATCATTAAAGTAATCTACCTTCCCAAAAATTGAGTCACAAAAACTGTTATGTCCTTGCCAACTTAACTTGTTTGATAAAATTAAAACAGTTAAACTGAGAGCCCAAAGAGAAAATTTTTCAGATTTTGGAGTAAGTATCGTCTTATAAGTATCGTATTGCGTGAGGGACAGTGAGCTTACATGGTTACATGGGTCCTAAAATTTAGAAAATTCTCTTTTAGTGACATTTTTATTCATTCTGATTGCTGTATTCACTAATCTTGAGAGAGTCTCAGTGTATTGGCAACAAAAGATGGCCCCTACCCAACAGTACGAGTTGCAAATTAAAAGCAAAATTAAGAAAAATTGTTATAATTTTGGGAGGGCCCCCTGCCCCTTCTGCTCCCCCCTAATCATATTTTTGATGCAATGACC